ATAGCGAAACAGGTTCACAATACTATTAGGAACAATTAAAACTTTGAAAATGTAATTTCTAAAAATATCATTACTTTTTCTTATGAGCCATGTTTTAAAATCAAAAATTACAAAGTGGCAACTCGCCATTACTACACAATTAACCATTTCTATAATTTTTGGAACCGTTCTTGTGCTACTATAGAAATAGTTATGCTATAATTAAGTAAATTGATTTGTCGACTTGAAATTTTTTTTAGGTAGATATTATTAGATTAGAATATGGTTGAGTAAACCGAAAAGTGGATTTATTATGCCTCCTTCCACCTATGACGTCTAAAGCACTCTTTCGAGAGTCGAGACCTATGCTTCTGACAAATGCGGATATCTTGTGGGGATCGATTTTTTGCAGCTCTCTTGCGAAGTCTCCTTCATTTCTTCACAGAACCTGTAAGTCATGTCCTCTCATGTATATATTATTATGTATACAAATGTGCTGTACATACTTTCTGAAATACTCCACTTGCGAAATTTTTCTACTTTTCAATTCCACAAATATAAAGATTTCGTATGCCTGAACTTTACACTGAATAAAAATTACATATTTAAACACATATTATAAACAAAATAATATAATTTTATTTTAAGAAAATTGCTTATCAAAATTTGTAAATCAAAATCATACTTATCTCAAGATTTTACTAGAAAACTTTATAATACTTACTATGTATATGTACAATGTTTTGATTCAAACATACACACGTGCATATGCTTATATACGTGAACTTGTGTTATGTTTTCTTTGCAAATGTATTACACCAGCTAGATCAATCTGCAAGTTTATCACTTGATGTTTCTTATTAAAACTGATGAATGTAAGTACATACATATTTGAATAATATTTCTTCTACATATATACTTAAATGGGATTTTTCTCATTCAAAAGAAAAATCTTTCCAAAAATGTGAACATATTTTTAAAAAAAATTTAATCATTAATTTCTTGGAAGTTTAGGTGAATAGGTAAATATTATACAAATGTTCCATTTATATATGTAACGTATGTATGTGTTTATGTGTTTTTTTTTTTTGGTGTTTGAGTCACTTGAAATAACAATTCACTATGTTAAATTGTAAAGGAAAACTTTTGCTTATTAACTTATTTGAAAACTTATGCATAAATCACATTCATCATCAAATTTATCAAAACATATTTAAAATATTTTAAATAATATATACATACATACATACATATGCATTTATAGATTTATATTTTTAGAAAATGTTGAAATTATTTTATAATTACAAGAAAATTTAAAGGATAAAATAAAATAGCAAAATGTCAATCCAAAATTATTGGCGCATTCACTTAGACTACATTTATAAAGATATTATAATAATAATAATAATGTCCCAATCATCATTCAGCAACCGTACATCTAGAACTACCGATCGAATTAATAAATTTCCATCAGACATAATAGAATAAGCAACTTGAATAAAGATTGAATTGTATTATTATTCTCCAAAAATTTTTAAAATGTTGCAAGATATATTTTACATTTGACATTGCTGGCAACGCACTAATGAAGCTGGTTTTGCATTTATGAATAACAAAATTAGTCAGCAATTTTTTAACATTATCAAAATAATGTATTAATAAATTAGTACTTAACGAACATAACATAGCATATGATATTATGGAATTCTTTGCAAATATTGCATTTGATCGCTATAATTAAATTTTTATTGTAATATTTAAAACTACATTCTTCTTTTATCTTTATTATAAGTTTATAGATTAGACTTTAATAAGATCACCGATTCATCCAAGTTCCTAGCACAAATTTATCAGAGCGCTCATGAACGCCCTCGAGCCTATCAGCACTCTCCGAAAAAGAATTCTTCCTTCAGAATGGTCCAGTCGGAGAGTACGTGTCGCACCTTGTCTACCATCTCAACAACCGCTCATTATATATGATTTAATTACATTGCACATCAAGGAACATTAAAATATCTTAGGTAGACAAACATATGTATAAAACTAAAATAATTTTTTCTTGCATATTAATAAATTGACAATATGCTAAAAATTTAAAAAGAAGCACGTATAAATGTATTAGTTTTAAAATTAAAATAAATTTCAAGATAGAGACGTTGAAAAATTATAGTTTCTTTAACATGTGTGTACAAGTAAGTATAAGCAAGGTCACCAAACCGTTTCACTTAAGATTTCGAATACATTGTTATACGCTAAGTATACTTGCATACGTATACATGACTACATAGGTCATGCAAATTAAAAATTGTTTATAAATGCCTTTTATTTGTGTTGAATGAAATTGAATAATACTCGTACAATATTAAATTAAAATTTTTTAAGTATATTTTTATTAGTCATCATTTTTAATAAACATGTCGTAAATGAATGTACATATTTATACACATATTATGAATGTACGTGCTTCTTTAACTTCTACATCTATCTATGGATGTATATAAGTATGTATATAATCAACGAAATTTATAAATTCGTATTTCAACTATTAATTTCGCAATGATGTTACACGATTTTTTTAGTATGTATTTTAATTTCAATATTATATTTGATAAAGTTCAATGATCTTTAATTTTTTTATGGTCTTTAAAGTAATTTTATCTTTAAAAATTATATAATATAAAATTTTATTTTGTAGCGTAAGATTTCCGTAAATGTTTAAAAACAGTTTTGGAACTAACTTTAATTTTTAGTAGCAAAGTTTTGATTTCTCGTTGACTGACATTTCCTTTCGTCACACTGCAAATTTATTGTTAAAAATATCAATATGATGGAGATATTCAAATATTGTAAAGTTTTATCTTTTTGTATATTTAATCACCAATCTTTTCTTTTAATCACAAAATCCATATTTAATATTAAGTTAATATTTTAATTGTTTTAAATAGATTTTAAAGGCATTACTTAATTTTAAAAATTAATTGTCATTTATGTAGTGCTGTCAACTGTTTTAAAAAGTAGAGTTGTTTTCTTTTAGTTTTTTAATTTTTAACACAACATAGTGAGAAGAAAGTGAGTAACTGTCATTTATTTATATGGAGGCCGATCGTCTATTTCGCCATTTTACTCGGAAGATGAGCAACTATCATTTATTTTTATAATGTAATTTTCGAGTGAGAAAAATTAAGTATTCAGTATTGCGTTCCCTATCTTGATTTTTTCTATGGATACAAAATTTATTTATTTTGTTTTGTTGAAGAAATCAAATTGATAAAATGAGTCATCTTATTGCAAAACTGAATTATCAATTAGAAAAACGAAGAATTCTGACTTGAAAGTGAATAAAAAGTGAGATGAAAAAATGAGTCATACAATTTTGCTGTAAGTTTCAAGATCTGCCTATGGGATCTCAAACACAGTCAATCTATTGCTGTTAAATTAAAGTAAGCACTTTTTAATAAATCATTTTAGATTAGACTTTTAATTTTTATTAATTTTTTTGTTTATAAGATTAAATTTTAAAATTTTTATAAAAATAACACCAATTTTTATACATATTAAAAATATTCCCATTTTATTGTAAAAATTTGTTCTGTTAAATTTTAAATATGTAATTAACTAAATTTAACTTGTATTTTAGTTTTCAAAATTTTTTTTTATACAATTTAAAATTTTAATATGAAACCAATGTGGTTTCTTATTTCTACCTTTTTAATACATGTTAATATTATTTTATAAACAAAAAAATATTTTTATTAAAATAAAAACATGTATTAATTTTTTTTTAGAATTTTATAAACAAATAACGAGTGTTAATAAACGAATTATTTTTGCAAGCATTATCTTTTCGAAAACGGCGAACTTAAAACTATTTTGTTATATCCATTTAGTAGCTTAAAAATAAGTAATAAAGTAAAAAAATAAATGGTGTAAAACAAGCACTTAACATTAATTATTTAAAATAAAATTGAACATTCATGTAATTATATGTAATTAATAATGATTTGAGACAAGCACAAATTTTTAGTGATGTGACGCTTAATACATCAAAAAATATAAAATATTTTTTTTATATGAGATTTATACAAAATTATAATAATGTGCATAACTAATGCCATATATGTATATCTATCAGGCCTCCAAGCTGAAAATATTTTCTGAAATTTTGAATCGGAAAAAGATACAAAAAGAATTCTTAAGGTTTTATGTTGTCGAAATATGCCGAGTATTATTAAGTATTCTTTATACTTAATTCTCATTTTATTTCGTATAGTTTTAAAAGCCATCTAGATTATAATTATTATTTTTTTGCTTTTTTCTTCAATTAATTTTTAAATTCTATTTTTTATTCAAAAATTTTACTCTGTAATTTAGTATCCTTTCATTTGGAAGATATGAAAGGTTGTCTGCGACAAAAATTGCAATTTGTTTTTTAAATGTACTTTTCACATGGAATTTACCAACCTATTTTTTTTAAATTTAAATTTTAAATTTCAAAAAATATGTGGAATCAGTAGATTCAAAAATATTGACCAATTTCCTTCATACAAATAAATTCCGACACACCTTCCATTTAAACTCGATATAAATTTGAAATTTATTTTTTATTTGCTCTCTGAGCTTGATGGCCTGTAGATATACCACATGGCATTAGTATAACATAGAAAATTTTTTAAATAAACTTAAGCATACTTTTGAAAATATTTTTAATAATTAATAATATTATTAATAATAATATATGCGCAAATGAAAATTGATTCTTTATTTTTTGATTTTTAATTAATCTTTTAGAACAATTTTCATTAAAACATTTTCCAGTTTAAGTATAAGAAATAATTATTATTTAATTTTATTATAAAAGGCAATTATTATAAAGGCGATTTTATAATTTCCAATTTGTTTTTTTCCAAAATATTTTCAAATACATACTCGTACATATGTTATGTATGCAATAAATAACACTAAGGCTAACTCATAATAAACACTGAGCTTTTTTAGTTTTAATACAACACTGTTTTATCGTACATAATATACACAAAATTATTTATTATCTTAAAAAATTATAAAATAAATTCACATAATACAAATTAAAAAGAAATCTAAAACAAATTCTTTTTACTGAAAATAAAATATTAATATTTTTAAAACTAATTAATTAGTAGTGCTAAAAATAACAAAAGCATATTAGATTTTACGATTCTTAATTAACATTTGAAACTGTTAGAATTGCGTTAAAATTACAGTTTTAAAATTTTTTTAATGAAGTATGAGGTACTTCAATATTTCTTTTTTTTAATTCATCCAATAATTTTATTTGGATTTTGTGCAATTCTTCTCGTTCTTTTAATAATTCTTCATTTCTTTCCTCTAATTTTTCATTTTCAATTTTTATTTGTTTACCTTTTATATTTCTTTTAATTCTAGAATTTTGACTTGCTATATTATTTTTAAATCTTCTTTCAACATATTTTAATTTACCGGGATCTCTTATTCTATTTAAATTTGGTATATCATGATTAATTTTTAGGGGCCGCCCTCTATTTGGTAATTTTTTTTTCAATTCTATATAATCATTTAATTTTACTTTTTTATTAACTATACTTGATTTTTTTATTATCAATTTAATTTTCTTATTACTATTTGTACTTTGTGAATTTTCATTTCGAGCTTCATTTTCCATACATTGATATTCTTCAATAATTGAACTGCGAGATTCTTCATAGTGAGTAGTGCTCACATATTCTTCTGCTCCAACAAATATTGGTGAATTAACATAACATATTTCTGTTGTTGAAAACAAATCTTCACTAGAAGATTTAGAATCAGGATTTTGATGAGACAAATTATAATTTTCTATTTCCGATGAATTATTTTCGATAGTTAAATCCTCGGAGACACTTGAATTTTTTATAGTATTGTTATCAATATCACTAAGAAAATCTGTAACAGATGTATTTTCTTCTTCAGAATCTGCGCTCTGAAATCAAATTTTATTATTTTTTTTTTAAATAATGTAATTTACTAAATGAATTATTTTTAGAGTTCATAAATTAATTAAAAAATTTTGACAGTAGAATTGAAATATTATGTTATCATCCAAATTGTAGTTATGTAATAGTGCGTATTAATTCAATATTCTAGTAAAATCTGGATGCTATGATAAAGATTATTTAAATCACATATGTATACATTTAAGCAATAAAAAATAAATCACTTACCGATTGAGTAACAGCTTGTCCTTTATCAAAACCAATTAAAATATCTTTTTGTGAAGAATTTACCACCTCATTTGTTTCGCATAATAATTCTATTTCAGGTGTATCTTGATCAAATATACTTGGGTCAAGAGTTTGTGAATCTACTTGCAGAATTTCACCCAGACTACATTGACTAAAAGTTTGACTAAAACTTTCCATACCATCATTTTCAACCATTGTTCAAATGAAAAATGTTGTTTCTTCAAATATAAATCTAGAAACAAGAAAAAATTCTGAAATAACTTTGGAAAAATACAAGAAAATTTTGAAAATTAAAGGAATAAATTTGTTTTATTTCTTTTTTCCAGCTTTTTTTAAGTCATAAACGAAATTTTCAAGATATATAAATAATATAAAAAACATTCCTTGATAAAATGAGCGTTAAGATATTACCGATGCTGCACCTAAAACTACGTAATATGAAACACATTGTTATCTCTCATATCTGCCTATTTGATAAAGAGGGCCCTACATTCAATTTTTTATATGGTATTTAACAACAAGAAAGAAACATTTCCGTACTTAAAAGGTATACACGCATATTCTCGTCTAAAACAAAATTCTAAAACGATCTAATCTAGTTCGTTCTTTAATGGTTGCCTGTCAATTTGTTGCAAATACACATTTGAAAAATTGAAAACCTTGAAACTGCAAATTTAGCACACAAGTTATTCATCGCATACAGGACAGTATTGCAAATAATTAAAGTCGACCTACAGAAAAGGGAACCAACCATACCACGACTTTTCTACCAAAAATAACGGTACTTCATATAAGGTTTCGTTTACATTCTTAAAATGAGTTACCAAAGTTTCTGCCATCTTCGTTTTCAGATTTTTTCTTTAGTAAATAATATCTTAAAAATAGCGTCCTCAAATGTGGTTATGAATTATCCTTGAAAAATTAAAAAGAAATCCTCATAAACTCATAATAACATTTAATAGTATATAATTAAAGTGTTGTTCATTGTTTTGTCCTAATTCTAAGAATTGTTATGTTTTAAGGTTCTACAAACATTCTTCCATAAAAATCTTCATTTTATTAACAGCTTTATTAAGACAACAGCAGCAATAAAGTAGTTGGCAATTAAGACCAATCAAGTTTTCATGGCATTTTTATGATCAAGAGTTCAACTTACTCTGTCGAGCATTTTGTTTTGTAACTTTGTAAAACAACAAGTATTCGGTATTCGAAAGTTGTACATATAAATCGCTTTGAAAATTGTTCATTGCATTAAAAACAATTTAGGAAAAGAGGTGATAATCTTTAATTTTAATTACAGCAGAAATTATATGTACATAAACTTTTTAGAAATTTAGTAGTGTATGATAGTTTGAAAAATCTATTCTGTATTCTTTTTGTGCTTACGCTGTACAACTCAGCATTTTTTTAGTTTTATTATTGCTCGTGTGGATATTATCTTTAAAACAAGTTAAAGAAATCCACGTAACAACTATTTTTTTTTATAATATTGTTTACAACCAAAAGAAACAAGTTTGATCTCATTTTATACTAAATCTACTCAAAGGACAAATATTAAAAAATTGAAGAAAATTTAAAAATTTAAAATGTTCATTAAATTCAAAACCGCAAATAATAAAATCAAAACTTTGGGTTATACCCAATTCATTTAAATCTATAACACATAATTATTTAATATCACAATTTTAAAATAAACAAAAGTGACCGGTTTTTGTGATTTCCCTTTTTTTTTCGTAATAAGTTTTGTGATATTCTTCATATTTTTATTTCATCAATATTTGTTGAATTTTATCAACTTAATTCTTTCATATTTTGTAAGAAAGCGTTAATAGCTTTTCCATATGGAAACTTTAAATAAAATTCATTACCTTAAATATTGAAAGAAGATTAGATGAGCTTTTTTCATGACGTCGTTGCTAAAGGTTGAAAGGGGAACTAAATTTTTTCAAATTAATTACGTCAAACTATTTCTATTAAATATTAGTAGGTACACATGTCTTAATATAGTTAGTTAGGTAATTATAACGTTATAAGTGTGTATCATATCAAATTACTTTTCTATTTCCGAAAAATTCATTACTTTACTCATTTATTGTGTTTTAATATGGGGAAAATTTTAATCATATATACATACATATCAAAAACTAATAACTAAGTGCTTCTTATGCTTTTGTAAGTGTTAAAAAGCTGGAAACTATATGCTTAACATTTGCCGACATGGTACCTAAAATAAATTTTGACTTTATATGTGACCTCATCTCATTAAGGTTTTTCCTGATTAAAAGAGTAGGTATAAGATTTGGTAAGTGATCTTGGTACTCACTTTTGAATTACGAAATTTCTTGAAGCGAAAAACATGTGACAAAGTATTTTTTTAATTTCTTTTTTTTTTTGGATCAACAATTCCTCTAAGAAATGTTAAGCGAAGAAATAATTGACTAAAATAAGATTTTCCCCCTTTGGTTAGGATTATAAGCCGTCGCTATTGTATTATTTTAATTAAAATTCTCGAGGATAGTCAAAAGAATTAAAAATAAAAATAATTTAGTTAAGCGTATAGCATCTAATTCTAACCTTAACTGAATCTCAACTCAAGTTCGAAAGAGTCCGAGAAGGAATTTAAAAAGCAACAAAATCAAATTTATCATTTAGCATATCTTTCAAAAGGTTACGTTAGTCTTTGCATTTCATTGTTGGGAGGCGTACTTGTGAAGATTGGTCTTTGGTGGGTCGACACATCAACATGACTTTTAATAAAAATTGTCGGAAAATATGCTCCTACAGCATATTTTTGTTTAAGAGACTTGTGTATTAATAATGTAAAATCGTTTGTTTTTTTTTATTTCAATTGCTTTATTTAGTCTCTGATCTTACTATGAAAGACTTACAATTTCTTTTCAAAATAATTTCTTTAATTAATTTCAAACTGCCATTTCTCAAGATTTTCAATCATCTCTAAGAATTGCGCAGTAAAATTTATTTAATATGTACGTATGTACATATAAACACACATTATGTACTTAATTTATTCTTCTAACTTCTTCTCTAAAATCAAAAATATGACGAAAAACTACAATATCAATTTAAACAACACTTTTGAAGTCATTAAATTTAAACAACAAAAATAAATAACATCTTTGAGACGTCATTTACTGTTTACAAAATATTTAAAAACAGTTTGTATTAAAATGACATAAATACAATTTAAGCTTTCTTAAATTCCGGTTTTTGAATAAAAAAAAAACCTGCAAAAATAAAAAAAAATTAAAGTAATAAATTTAAAAAAAAAAATTAGCATGAAATTTGTGGTTTCTCTGTAGAAATTTTTTTTATTGATTAACGTATAACAAAAATTCTAATTATTTCAAAGTTATCAAGAATGTTTTTTAAGAATTTTTTTATGTACAGCTTGATATGTTTGATAAAAATATATTATGTAAAAAATTTGTAAGAAATTGTTGTAGTTGGAAAAATTTTGCTCACGAAGACAGTAACTTTTATAACATAAACTTTTTATAGTAGGTAATTGTTTTTATTGGAAAATTTACTTTTGCTTACTTTATTATTTTAGGGTCATAAATCTTTTAAAAGAAAAACAAAAATAATAAAAAAATCCAATAAGTTTTACAAAATAATTTACGTGTGAAAATAAAGTTTCATCATTGCTTTTATCTTTTTGGAATACCCCAATAACATACATAATTTACTTTTTTTTCAAACTAGTTAAAACTAAAAGTTTTAGTGCCACCTTTTCTGATCACAGATGTTGTATAGTATACTCAAATAGAATGAAGTTAGAATTAGAATGAAAAAATTCTCTATAACTACGTACATACACATGAGTTTACAAAAAATATATGTATTGGAATATTATAAGTATTATAACAAAAGAAAAATGAAAATAAAATGGTATACGTATGGTGAGTGGTGACATAATAATATACGCATAAAATAAGCTTGAAAAACCTATTGAAGAAAATTTAAAAATGTGCATAACATCCAAGATAAATTCATGTGCAATTAAAGGGAATAACACTGAAAGAGATCCTAGAAAAGGAAAAAGAATAATGAAAGGACTATCTTCTCCAGTTTTATTTCCAAAAAAGGATCCAACAAATCGTATTACACACAATATTTCTACATTTACAAAAAGACGAACTAGTTTAACAAGAAAAAAAATATAAATTTAAAAAAAAAAAGTTAGATTTCGTAGCTTTCAGAATATTACTTTTGACCAAAGAACTGTTAATAAGGAAGAACATTTGTTTAATAATCGAATTTTTAAGGTTTAAAATTCAAAACAGAAAAGGAGAAAAGTGATTGATAATGTATTCTATTGTTGAAAAATTATTTGCAAAAACTATAGTTTTTTTTTTTATAAAAGACCTCCAAAAAGGAATCATCCATGTCCGATTATTTGAAAATATTTTACTCTTTCTAGAACTATTATGTTTGTGAGTTGATCTTAAACTCTATATTTTAACCTTTGTGTTTTATAAAAAGAAATTTAAGACATAAAATTTAGAGTAATTAATTTTTCAACATTATAACCTTTCAATTATGTTTTTGGTGTAAATAATTAGTAGATAGATACTAATGTTATTACTTAGACTTTTTGATATAGAGGCAATAAACAATTTAGAATTAGGAATAGGTACCCACCTGAGAACTTAAAAATGACATTAGACATAACTACCTACTTATTTGAAAAAACAATTTATTTATTGCAATTAGCAACTTGTTCCTCAAAAAACTTACATATTACAAATATTGTTGATAAATATTTACTATTATATATGTATATATGTGTACACCATATATGTATACTATATAGTTGATTAGTTGATTTGGAAATGTAAATTATAAAGAATTCTCAAATTCCATTTTGCGCAACTAGTTTTCGAGAATATTTGCGCAAATATACATTATGTATAAGTATCTACGTACATACATAAATATAAATATCTACTTGTAGAGCTTAGAACTATTTTTTTAATATTTTCACAAAAATATCTATAAATTTTTAATTAAAATTCTTAATTATTTATCTAAGAGCGTAAAATATTACTTTCAAACACAAAATAAATTAGGTTAAAAAATCAAATTTATAATAATTAACACAATAACAAAATTCAGTTAAATCAAAATAAACTTTTATTTTTTTTCCTACTTGGAAACTATTAGATATTTTGTACTTTTCCTATTTTACACTTGACATTGACATTTAAAAAAAAAACATCAAGTTTGACATTATCCTAAATTTACAAAATTTGCTGTGATAGGCTCATTCAATAGCTTCATATTAAATTCAACACATTTCGTAATGCTCAATGAGTAAAAAACCAACCTCAAACGTATTTTAAAAACAATCAAATTTAAAAACAATCATAAGAAAGTTCGTGAGACAGTCTACTATAGCTAATATTATTTTGCTATTAAATTGATTTTGTATGTTGTATTTATAAAAATTTTTGATTAACTTTTTGACAAGTCGTAAGTAAGTGAATATTTTAACATATTGTTTGGCGTTGTCAAAAAGTAACTTAGTTGCATATTTTGTTATTGGCACAAAGCTTCAAATTTTAAATTTTTTAAAAAATCGTTTTGTAAATAAAAGAAAGTTGATATTTTTCATTTTTTTCTTTTGAGAAATATTGACTGAAAACAAAAACGCTTATGACTCCCCACTTATAAGTGTTCACATTAGGAAATTTCAAAATGTCAAATTTAAAAAAAAATTGTGCAAAATTGTATTTTTCTAACAACTATATGAAACTAAGCTAATTAGAAAATTAATATTTTTTTTAATTGGATACATATTTAAATTAAATAGAAATTTAAATCAAAATTCGAGCATAGATTAGAAGGTTATAAATTTTGCTTCTTAGAAGCGAGTTTTTGAGGACAGAATTACGGACTTACATTTCAAAAAAAAAATTTAATCCGTCGCGTAGTTTGACCTTCTAAAAACTTATTTTTAAGTATTGCAAAAAACAGTTTTGTAATATTTATTAATCAAAGATAATAACATAAATTTTTTTTTTAAATTAAAACAGTACAAAAGTTTTAAAAAGTTCAAATTTTCACAAAGATGTCAAAATGGGAACACTGTTTTCAAGTAAATAAAAAATTTGAATTATCTAATAAGCATAATTGATTGATTAAATTTTTCCAATAACCACTACGGTTTTTGATGATTGCTTACAGCAGTAATTTATTATGCGGCCCGACCAATTTTTCTTTTGCGACTTAAAAAAAAAATTAAGTTTGTTTCACTTATTCACTTATTTACTTATTGTTTAAAAAAAAGATGTCCCAGACAATATTTTTTTGGTTAAATGTTGTTTTTTCGCAGTATGCTCAATGCGTACTAAGCTCTTTTGTAAATAGATACATACATATCTATCTATTTCTTATACGAACTTTTAACTTTAGCATGGTTTGAATCGGTTAATTTTCATCAATACAAAAAAAATAATAAAATTTTAAAAAATTAAAAAACCACGTTTATATAATGCTCAGCAAGCCGAGCTGTCCTCAACATTGTAACATATTTTTACAGCTCTTTTGGTGCAGGCAACATTTTTAAGTCCTGCAACATTTTTGGTACTTGCAAAATTTTTGGAAACTGCAACATTTTCGTCTGGAAACTGCGGCCCAGGAAACGATTACTTTTTCTCATTTAACCCAATTTAAAAAAAAAAGTTGCTCAGGAAGTTCTAAATCCCTATAGTTAAATTATACTTTGTTTGCTTTCTGAAAAAATGTTTATTTGTACAAATTTGACAAAAAAAAACAGTCATTTGTGTTAATTTTTACATTGCAAAATTAATAATTATATACCTACGTACATATGTATGTACATATTTTTAACTTGTGTGGTGGTATACCTAAAACCTAAATAATTTCTTATAATTCTATTTTGGAAATGTATTTTATACTTTGCTTGTTAGATCACCTCATACAGAAATCATTTTTTCTTTAGAGTTTAATCCTAAACTGACTTGCAATATCAGAATGGCTTAGCAAAAGGAAATAAATATTCTTTTAAAAATTCATGCTTTTCTAATAATTTTGCATGTTTTTTTCTTAAATTTTCATTTCTTTCAATTTCATTTTTTTCCTCCAGTTTTAGTTTTTCTTTTTTTAACTGTTGCTTACGCCTTGACTTACGAGATGCTTCATTATTTTTGTACCGTTTTTGTAAATATTTTAATTTTTTCGGGTCAACATTTTTTAATTGTTCTGAAGTTGGTGGTGAGCTACAATCAATGGGTGGTCGACCCCTTTTAGACTTCTTAGATAGAGAAGAATCTTCTGTACAATTGAATGAACTAATTGAGACTAAACGTGGCAAGCTAGTACTATTAGTAGATAAGTTTATGGGTTCATCATTAACAATCATATTGCAATTAGATGCTGTTAAGTGAAGGTTCTTTACTGGTTTTCTGTTTGAAGTATTAAATGTGTTAAGTGTAAAATGTCGTGATTGTTTGTCAACATTAAATTTTCGGGATTCAAATTCCGGCAAAATTTGATTTTTAATTAATTCAAAGAATGTCTCACTAAGCACAGTTTTAGAAAACGATGCATTTCGATTACGTTTAACGTTTGCTCTTGGAAGGCACTGCAAAAAAAAGAATTTATCGAAATTCAATTTGAAATTGATTTTACCTTAAATTTCCGAGTTTTCATTTTTTATATTTCCAGAAAAATCAAAAGCATAAAAAAATTATAATTTCTAAACTACTATATCCGCTTAGTTTAGATATTGAACATCACCAATAAGAATTTTGGAAATTCAAATTATTATATTCTAAAGAAAACATTAATTTAAGTTTAACGATTTTCAATTTTATTATTATCAAACAAATTATTTGTACACGAAAACATATAGCATAAAATGCTTTAAAATATAAATGCATATAAATTTAACAAATTTTCTCTTAATAATAATTACTTTTTCTACATTCCTTCCAACAAAATAAAACAAATACATAGAAAACAGGTTTGACAGCAGTCATATATGAAATGATCATCGTAAGGTATTAGGTCTGTTCAGTACAGTGAAACGCTCAAATTATTTTTAACGAAACTTTACTAAATGCCTTCCATCAATTTTAGGCGTTTTCGTTTTTTTATTAAAGTTTAATCTGACCGAGTTCAGAATTTTCAGAACAAGGGTCTGATCAGATAGAAAATTTTATAATCTGAATTTTTAATTTACTTGACGTGCCTAATCTTTTTTTAATAAATAAAAACTGTTAGTGAAATTAAAATTTTTAATTAGTTAAAATATAGGTTCGGACGTTTGAACCTTGTGAATAGAATCTTTGGGTACAAAAATTATTTATTGACAGAATAAGCTCGCATGTTATTTAATAATTTTTTAAACTTAAAGTATCAAATTAATATATAAGCTTTGTGAAATCTGAAATTTTTTTCTATGCACATAATGCTAGCCATTCACTATTTAACTTGGTCCCTCAATAAGTTCAAAACAGCAAGTTTTCAGCATATTAAATTGTTAGTGGACACTGACCTATTTTTTGGAAGATCTAAATCTGCTTCGATGTACAAAACCATATCGCCTATTGCAGTAAATCATTATCAATTAAAACAATTTTTGTAAATGGCGAAAAAATTTAAATTAAGAGATATTTTAGCTATCCGTCAATTCGAAAAATCACTTTGTTTGTATTAACATATTCAATTGAAAAACTTTCAGTTTTCAAACTTAAAACTTATGTTCAAGCGTTTAAAACGGTAAGTCTGATATATGTAAGCCATTGATTTTTATGATTGCAAAATACTTTTTTAGTTTTTTTAAATGCTATTTTTTAATATTTAATGAAAACCTTATTTTATTTAATTCTTGCTTGTAGTGAATTTTTAAATAAAAAACTGAATAGCCGTATTGTTTTTCTATTATTAAATAATTGTTTTTCCATTTATATAGGCTTTTAAATAAAACATTAAAATAACAATGTAAAAGAATTTTGATTTGTCAAATAAATAGAAAAAATATCTGGAATTTCCCGGTTAATATTTTTCCTAAAACATTTGTTGTTTTGATTTTCAAATTTACGAGAGAATGAAAAGAAATTAGCCTGCATAATGAGGATGTGTTTACGTATGTACGTATGTATGTAACTACTATATATAGGTACATACATATTTTGCTTTTCTTTTTGATTTTTTTTATATTAATAAATTGAAAATACAAATATACTAAAAGTATACTAAATATATAAATGGCTAATAAATATTTTGGGCGAATAATTATTTTTAATTATTTTGAATTGTACCAACAATTATCTGATTTTTGCAGTAAGTTGACTACAGTATGGGTGAGTTTATAAAACTCATAACAGAGAGGTTTTCTCGCTCATAAAAATTATTACATTAATTTTAATGTCCTTTTACTCTTGGGCTCCTGGTTATACTTTATACATATACATAATATGTATAATATGTACTTTATTGAAATTTTTGAGATCTTGGGAATTTAAAATAAAAGATGCAACTATGAAAGTGATATATTATGTACATACGTATCATATGAACATACATATAAGTAAGCGAATACGATTAAAGAATATTTTCGTATTTTTATTAAACTTTTATCTAACAATATTTTATAAACTAAAGATTATTTCGAATTATCGGAAACCTTACTATGTAATTCGGTTTTCGTATTCGAAAAAATTATAAGGTTGTACTAATAAATTTGTATAGTAGTATTTTTACATTTCTGCAAATATGAAAAAAAATTACATAGCAAGATGCCAGGAAAACGTTTTACGGTCCTTGAATTGTATATTGCAGTATTAAGGTTTCTAAATCTGATTCATGCTAGAAATAAATTACTGAATAAAGTTTGATCATATCGAACTATTGATCATTGGCACTATCGAACCAAAACAGTATACAAAATATATGTATATTATATACATAATATATATGTACGTACATATATATTCTATATATTGTATGTACCATAAAATGATATAGAATTTACAAATCAACATTTTTCAAAGATTATAGAAGAAACTTGTTATCTGAAAATTACAGCCCGTGGTCACAAATAGTAAAATCAACACAAAAAAATTTCGAAGATAAAATTAAATTTATTGAATTTCCAGAAAATTTAGTAAACTATGATGTAAAAAATAGATATGAATACATACATTATCATATATTTTTTTTAATAAAAATCCAAATGCTGGCTTCAGTTTAAATAAAAATTAGTGTTGAAGTGCACGATACAACAATAAATTCTTATGTAAAATCTGTTACCAATATTACGTCATTAATAAGTAATTCAACTGTTTAAAGTGTACATTACAAAATGATAATCTAATACTTGACAATAATTTCAATTTATTTTAATCACAGAATAGATGCATCTTATGTAAGTTTATGAAAACTCCAGCTTAACTTCTCATAACAATTATCCGTAAGTATTCCTTAAGAAATTCATGCTTCTTTTTCAATTTCATATGTTTTAATTTTAAAATACGGTTTCTTTCTATTTCTTGTTGCTCTTCTAATTTTAATTGTTCTTCATTGAGTTTTCTTTTACGTCTTGATATACGACTTGCTTCATTATTTTTATATCTTTGTTCTAAATACTTTCTTTTACTTGGATCAGCGTTCTTTAATTGTTCTAATGTTGGTGGAGAACAGTGTTCAAGCGGTGGCCTGCCCCTTTTCCTTTTTAATTTGTCGTTTTGTACGATCTTACAATCTGTTAATTTTTCCAATGTACTATCTTGTTCAGCCGTATTTGTACTGGTTGTTTGGAAATTTAGGTCTGGTTCAAAGAAACTAAAATCCACCAAATATGAATTTGCTGGTGCTTTGTTATTAACACTCGAATAATTATCAATTTCTAACATTTTGTTTCTGATTATAAATGTTGAATTAAATAAAGGGTGTGTAACTACTGATGATTAGGAAATCATTGATTTTCCTTTTTTGATTTGAAGTTGAGTATATCTTTATCCGGATTAAATGATGAAATGATGCGAATTAACTGTTGTAATAAATTGATTACTATAATATCAGCAAGATTCTAAAAATAAAAACTAAAAGTTATTTGATCAATTTTTTAATTACTTACCTTAGATCTCTTTACCTTCTTTTTTAGTTTTAATGTTTATTATTTTAGTTTTTTAACATTTTGAATTGTGTTTAAATAAATATTAGTAAGAAAACGTTTACTTGTTCAAACATTTAACAAAATTCTTTAGTTTATTAAGCACTTCCTTTTTGACGTCGCATTTTATAATGAAAATTCTTAGTACATACATATTTGCGCCGTCATTATTAAATGCATATAATGTACCTTCAATCCTTATATAAATGGAAATGAAAGAGTCCACCGTTAAAATAGCATTTATGTATTGCTTAAACTTTTATTATTTATTTATAAATGTATGTACATACATATATACACACGTAAATTCTGCAGACCTATGCATTTATAAGCATTACTGTGTGAATAGTCATGTTATGAAATTCTATTTTCTTATTAATACCATTTGTATGTGTGATTGTATATTATATGTTGCCTATCTATTTATTTCACCTTACCGTGAAAAGTTTCAATGTAGTAAAATGAAATGTCAAATAATCATTTTTATATTAACTGCCAATTTAAACGGTCATCATCGAAAACGTTATCTTTAAATTAAAATATTTTTTTAAATCGAAAAAATCTAAAATAATATAAAGATTGTAAAAAATAGTGATTTGTGTGATTTTAATTAAAAAGTTAATTGTTTTTTGCTTATTTTTAATTAAATTTATGTATATTAGCTATAAAGAATTAAATCTATTAAACAAAATTTAAGAAATTTCATTACTGGCTGTTTATAAATAAGTTGAGTAAAAAATAGAAAGAATTCAGAATAGTGAAATAAAATTTAATCGAAAATGTGTTTTGGTATTATGTGCTTAATAAAAAATATGTAAATATTTCAATAAAATTTTAAAAAATATGTACTATATAATATTACATAAGTATGTACATATATTTGGTTTGCAAATTTTAAAAGAATAAATTTTCAAAATTTAAGATGAATGCAATTTTAATAAACTCTCAGTTTGAAAATTTCATGGAATTTTTGTATTTTACAAATGTGTTTTTTTGTTTGACTGGGCATATATTATGTAAGTATATGTATATGAATATGTTACAGATTAATATTGTCTTTTAATTTATAATAGCTTATAACTTGCAATTTATAAATAGTTATTGAATGTATTGAAGTTCTATATTGCCAAATACAAAATTTTAAGAGTTCATTATAAAGGGTACAAACCCCAATTAGCTTTTGTGGTGCCTATGTATTAACATACATATATTAATAACAATAATTAACTGAATCAATCGGTTTTAATTTATATAGATCTAAATGGCTCTTAAAAAACTGTTTTATATGAGTGCCAACAATTCTTTGCTCTTATATACTTTCAATATTATTTAAATAAAAAAGTAATGTTTTAGGTTTTAATTGTCATATATATATATACATACATATATAATATAAATATTCCTGATCTTAAAAATGCAGTTATACGGTATAAGTACAGTTTAGTTATCTTTTTTACGAAAATTTCACAAAGAGGTGAAATTGAAAAAATCTAAATGTTTTTTTTTTCATATGCAAAATTCGTTACAAAAGCCTTTTTGCATAGAAAAATCGACGATTCAAATCAAACACCAATTACTTAGCCTTATTCATTCTCTATTACCCGCTGACTGACTATTACCTTCAATTTATTTTATAATGAACGTCATTAATAAGTTGATTAAAAAGAAATAATGCTATTACGGAAGTCGATTTCACACAATATAATTTCCTGAATACATTTCAAGCTCAACACTACAATCTAACTGACTTTTAAAGTTGGCAACGTAAATAAAATATCACTGTGAAATTAATCCCTAGCAGCCTTTACTCACTTAAATCGATTTAATGGATACAAACGATTCTGCATCAACTTCCATAATTGAGTCTTTTGTGTATTTTCATTTTGTAATTAACTTTGAAATAAACATGAATGGCATATGAAATAAACATGTTTATTGCAATAAAATAAATAATTGTTTCTGTTTTAGAATGCAATATTTCAATTGTAAATTTAAACAATCTTTTTTAAATCTTAAAATAAAACGTTTTTTTTTGCAACTTAATCTGTAATAACTTAAAATCCTTCTTGAAATCAGGCCGGCTACAAATACTATTGAAGTGAAAAATTTTTTTATCGTTTGTCTATCAGAAAAATGTATCCGAGATGAAATGATAAAATAATTTACCTGTAATGTTGAAAATTACCTGTATATATTATGTAATAATTTACCTGTAATGAATTCAAAATTTTTTCATTTAATTTCAACCAAATTTTTTCTTTTTTTATTAAAAAATCGAATAGTAATTTTGAACTGTCGCGCACTTTTGTAATCAATGATTGACATATGAAGGTATGTTAAAATTTTTATAAATAACGGAACCAATAAAAATAAAAAAAATGTAATGATTTTAAAATATACAGTATAGAAAGTCAAAAGATCAATTTGTGTAGGGAGTATATAAGTATATAAATATTACAATTACCCTTACTATGATCGGCGAAGCGAATGGTTAGGCGAGTCGAATGGACTATGCAAATCGAACGATATTTTAAATTATAATCGGCAAATGCTTTCATTCGCCAAATCCAAAGTATTGCTACCGCAAGACATCAGAAATCCTCCCGAAAATAATAAGATTAGCACCACAATTTAATTTTCCTATCCCTAAACAAACTGTAAAGTAAGTTCATAAAATTCCCCAAATTATTGTAAAAAATATTGATTGTTTAATATTAATTGCAAAAAACGACCCCGTATATTGCTAAAGGTGTTAACCTTATTATTTACTGTAGGTTTTGTGATGTCTTGCGGTAGCAACATTTTGGAACACGAATGCTCTCATTCGCCGATCATAATTTAAAATATCATTAGACTCGCCTAGCCATTCGCTTCGCCGATAATAATAAGGGTATATGTAATTATTTTGATTTTTCATTCTTTCTTTGATTTTTCGCAACTCATTCGCTTAAAATTTGGAATTCGCTAATCGTAATACCAAAAATTCATATTCGCCAAAAATTCCATTCGCTTCGCAGATCATAGTAAGGGTCTAAAATTAACAATAAGAAGCGCTTGAAGACAAATAACACTAAATCATTGCCAAATAAGATTAAAAAGGTGGTTATCATATCAATTGAAATTAGTTACAAAAAAAGATATCTTTCTTTTCCGTATATGATAAGATTCCTGTTATTTCTTTATTCACGGTATATTTTTGTCATCTAAGTGACAGGTCTAACAGAATTCGGGTTTGCTCTGTGAAAGAAATTTGCTTTTTTTTTTAAATCTTACCTTATGCCTTTCACCTAAAAATATAGAAAAATTCAAATGAATAAAAAAAAATTTAGTGGCTTTTCGCTTTATTTAAAATAAAACTTTTTTTTTCATTTTTGTTCTTTTCTTAATTTGTTTAAAATATCAAAAAGTAATATTTAAGTTTTACAAAACAAAAATTATATACCATATAATTAGAAAGAGGTTTTCGGGAAACGACTAAAAATTTGTTCTGATTTTTTTCTCACTTAATCATTTGACAATACAAAATTGTATTTTATTTTTTTTTTGTCTTTAAAATTTTTCATTTTAATGAAATATTGGGTAAACTTTAACAAATATTTTTTAATAAATTAAAAAATACTTTTTATTCATATTATACTTGTACAATAATTTACTTATTTTTTTTTATTTTTCAATAATTTCTTTTAAACACAATAAATCATGTACGATAAATGGATAAATACAATGCTATAAATTGCTATTACTACTGTATTATTTTTAGGATTTATTTTTTTTTTAAATTTATCTTTTAAATTTAAAATAACACTATATTTAATTGGATAGCATAACATTTACAAAAATTCCAAAATAAAATATTTTTTTTTTAAGTATTATTGAAATTTTTATGTATAATTTTTTTTAAAATCAATTTTTCAATTTGATTATTGCTTATTAAATCAACCATTTTTTATGACAAAAAAAAATCATTATCTAAACAAATACAAAGTTAATAAAAGTATATACTTATACATATTTATTTTTTTTATATTAAAATTAAGCTATAAATATTCAACTTCCACCTTTCAACTTTCTGCAACAATCATGCGTAATTTATCCTTTAAATATTCATGTTTTTGAGTTAATTTGGCATGTTTAGCCTTTAAAATAGCATTTCTCCTTATTTCACGTAATTCTTCCTCTTTTTCCTCTTCTTCCTTACGCTTTCTGTTACGTCTTGATATTCGGCTGGCTTCATTATTTTTATATCTTTGTTCTAAATATTTTCGTTTATTTGGATCAGAATTTCTTAATTGTTCTATTGTAGGCGGTGAACTGTGATCAAGTGCTGGACGACCACGTTTCTTTTTAGATTTTGATTGAATTTGAGTACATTCAGAATTTTGAGTTGAACTATATTCACTGTAGGTTTGAGATGTTTGTGACGCTGGTGTTGGTGGTGGACTACTAAAGTTTGATGTTGTTATTGATAAATTAGCATCATCTGAGTATGTAATTGATGAACCACCAACACTTAATGGATTTTCATATAGAGCTGGTGATGGAATATTATTGTTTCTTGAAGTGCAATTTGAAATTGCAGAATCACTTGGTGACATTTGATAAGTCAATACAGTTCTATCAAATTCTTGTACACCAACATCTAGTTCAGGTGATTCTATTCTGCTACCATCATCAAAACTATCGTTACAGGAATCGTCACTTAAAATTTTAGTGCTGAATACGTCTACCGGGAACTGAAATAAGAAAAAAAATAATAAATTAGAATTTAATATTTGCAATTTTATAACATTAAAATGTCTTTTAATTTTTGTAAATTTTATATAATTCCTTACCATGTTTTCCTTTTCTTTTTGTGTTTCAAATGATTCAACAATTTTAATAACATCTGGTGTTTCAATTAGATTTGCATTATTGTTGTGTCTTAGATCTGTTTTTAGTATTAAAGCTTTTGTTTTCTTTTTTCTGTAAGTGTTATTACAACTATTGAGGCTATCCATAATATTATTATTTGCTATAAAGTTACCATCACCGTTATTGTTATTTAAAGTATTTGTATTGATGAAGTCAATTAAATTAAAATTATTTAAATCGTCATAATTTTCATTTTTTATTTCACAATTTGTATCTTCTGGTATTGAATTAGGTGGTGTGATTGTAATATTATTTTCAATTTCACAGGGAAATGCGTGAACATTGTTTGGATTAATACAATCATATGTAGTCAATTCTTCATCTTTAACTAAAACAGATGCTGTTGAAATTGGAAGTGTTTCGTATTGCATTTTTTTTAAATAGCCATCACTGTCGTTTATAGTAGAAATGTCATTATTTAAAATTGTTGAATCAAATTCCATCATATCTACATCATCGAAAATATTTAGAAATTCAGACGAAAGTTGAGTATCAAGTGGTATAGCATTTTTCGGATCAATATTCATTATTTCTCTTTCAACATTCATAATATTATCAAAATTATCTTGGTCTTTTTCAATCATTTTTATATTTTTTGTTTGCTCCGAATTTTCCTCCAAATCAAATATATTTGTTAGATTATCCAAATTATTATTCTTATTATTAAATAACTGTAATAAATCCAAATCACTTGGAGGATCTATTTGTTGTAAATTACTTGTTATATTATTTAAAGTTCCTTTTGAATTAAATTCTATATTTTCTTTAATTGTTGTAACAGTTGATATTGGTATATTAGTTGTTGTCGTCGCTGTTGGTGATTTAATTAAATATGTTGCATCTGCCGAAGAAGATACTTGTCTTGGAATTGTCTGGCTTGTTTCAACGTTCAAATATCTGGATGTTATAAAATCATTTGGTAAATCCGTTTGTGATTGGTTCTTATTATTTAAGACTGTGAAAGATATATACAAGAATACAATATTAGTAATGTAATATAAATAATTTAACATAAAAAAAATAAGAAAATTAGTACAATATTACAAGTACTAAAGATTATGACATTTTTGACACCATTTCACCATGTTCGGAATTAAAATTATTATTTCTAATTTAATAAACTAATCAATAAATAAAATTAAATTTAAAAGGCCGGTTTACATTACGCAATTTATGTGAAATTATACAATTTTTGTTCTTTTTTTTTTAAATTAACTTACCTTAAATTTTCTGGATTGAATAAAAATAAAAATTGAACTTAAAAAAAAATCTTATATCTATATCACATTTCTGTTTCATTATATCACAGCAATTAATCATAATTTACTTGCTAGACTAGATCATAATTAACTTAATAATAAATTAATATTAATTTAAATTATAAATTAAAATATAAAATAATATTATATAACTATAATAGATTATAACTTTAAAAATAAATTCTAATCGTAAGTAAACGTTTAAAATTTTCACCATTTTATTAATTTCGTTAATTGTGAAATTAATCACATGACGTCACGCAAGAATTAATCCACAAAAAAAATATTATTAAACTGAAAGTTTCAAATTTCAGTTAATATCCAAGGGAATTTGGTTACATAAATATATGTAAAGTAATTTTAAGCATTTTTCTTTTATGAATGCTATTGAAATGCGTTACTATTGAATAAACAGGATTACATTTACTAAAAAGTAATGTATGTACATATGTACATTTGGATGTACTTATGTCGAATATAAAATTCCCTTTTAATGATCAAACAAGTTCACATTTCAAACACTTAAATATTACTAACTGATCTTTAATAAATACACTTTTTTCCCCAAGTTTAAAATTTCTAAATTTTACCATTATTTTAAAAAGCTTTCTACACCTGTGTGGAAATTCCGCTATATAATATTGTGGAATATCAATTATTATAGCTTTATACCAACACAATTGCGTAATGAGAGAGAAATTGAGTATTTGCGTGCACATATAATATTTTGTATTTCGAAATTTAATAAAAGAGAAAAAAATTATGGTAAACTCAAATTCAAATATCATTGAAAAGCATTACACATTTTCCTCTCTTAAATTTTTATGGTTGTTTTTATCTCTTTAAATTTTTTCATATTTCAAAGAGTAATTTTTTATTAAGTTTATTATGTTGTATATATATTATAAAAATTGAAAATAAGAGAAAATTTAAAGCTTTCCCTTAATTTCGAAAGAAGTGCATTAAGAGACATGCATTTTATTATTTAAAATTTACATTTATTTTACATAATTATTATTATGCATGAACGTAAACCTAATTAAATGTATTTTTTATTATACAGAACTTTTAATTCAAATATCTCATCGCATTTAATGCTGAATGAAGAGAATTTTTTTTAAAATTTAACCATGTATTTAAAAAAAATTGGTAAAAAGAAAATATATGAAAAAAATTATTGCAAGGATGAGGGTGCGTTTTCAATTTAAAATTTGTGCTTTTTAAAATATAATTGGGAAAATCCCGCTTAATTATTGAAAAAGTTCATATTTTATTATTTATATATGTATATATGTAAATAAGTGTATGTTTGTATGTATGTATAACGTTTACAGAAAAAAAAGTGTGAGTGATCTAGTAATATTAATTGACCAGATACTTTTACAACACATCGGTACATATTCATACTTCTTGTCATTATTCGAACTACATATATTGTATGTGAATGAAAATGTTTGGCACTTCTCATGAAAAACTTATTATAAAAACATGATTGGACTTGATTAATTTTAAGATTTTTTGCGAATAAAAAATGTTTTTTGTTGTTGGTTATATAATTTAGAATAGGTACATACATACATCTATACGCATTTAAGAATAATACGACAAAACGTTACGAACTTGTACCAAAGTTTTAATTACTACCACCCAGTCATATTTTATTAATAAATAAATTATGACTGGCTTATAAATAATAAGCTGAAACAGATTTTTTATTTTCTTGTTCAAGTTACATAACATAAAAAATTGAATAAATAAACAGAATGAATGAAATAGATATAGAAAATATAGAAGAATAATGCAGAGTTAAGACAAATAAAAAAAAATTGAATCATTCAATTTTCTATTTTTTAAACAAAATAATAAAGATAAGAAAATTCGAAAAATCAAAAAAAATATTTAAGTACAGTTACTTTCTATTTAAATGCTACGCAAGTATGTATGTATGTGTATGTATATGCATACATGTGTTGATTCTTAATGTCGATAATCTAAAAAAAAAACTTGGACACCGTCTTTTCATGTGATTTTCCAATAATTTTGCTTTTGTGTTTTTCATATTAAAAATTTTTTAATTTTCTATTGAATTAGAGGAAAACTTTTTAGGTATGCAGATTCTCGAATCGAAATTTATGAAATATTTTTGCGGAATTCTTAGGTTCTTGTTCATATAAAGGGTTTGATACGAAAAGACATGAAATCTAGATGGTAATAAAATTAAGATATTGAAAAATCTATAGCGAAAAATTATAAGAACAATATGAAACTATAAAAAACCTTTTTTAGTACAAAAAAAAATTACATAAGCACGCAAATGCGCTTGGCCCATTTTACGTTTTTACTTGGTCAAATTTACTTCTTCAAAAATAATTTATATAATTGGGTACTTATATAAATATATGTTGATCTTTTTGTCAGTTTTAGTTAATTTTCTGCCAATATTGATCTCATTTGCTCTGTGCATTTAGTACAAAATATAACAACTGTTAATAATAAAAAAAAATAATGATCCATTCGGGCAATGATTTGATATTTATTTTTTATTAATATGTCATATTCTGCATTACTATAAACATAATTTACATGAATAATTTTCTCATTTACATGCGAAACGAAAAATGACTTCGTTTCAATTTAGTATAATAAGTGCTGAATTATTTCAACTACTCATTTCTTCCTTCATTCCAATGATACTTCAAAAAACACATTTTGGTATATTATACTGATTTATATAGAGATCTTGTACATATTTTTTTGTTTTTCTATGCAGGTGTTGAAAATCTTCGATAGATAAAAAAAACGCGAACTCAAATCGTCGTTAGACTTATCTAAAGTGAGGGATTTTAACCCAACTTAAAACACACCTGATCTTAGCCTAAAGTTTATGATCAATCTAGAGGACTCGTTGGTTTCAGTCTTTCTGTCCTTACCCTCATTTCTATAATCCATGAGGCCATGCTGTTCCAAACGTACTCTATGTTTCATGGAACAGTTCCTATTGCGTACATACTAGGAAGCACCCACCATATTGATGAAATAATGATGTTTGTGATAAAAATTGAATGACTTCACAAGTATTTGCAATTGCGTAAAAATTATAAATTATTATAGCAACGGTTAAAACCATTTTCAGGCAACTTACATTTTTCTTTATATAAAAATAGTGATTCAGAAATGATTCTGAACCTGGTATTTTTTCTTGTCCCCTTGCTCCTCTTCCTTTAATAAACATTACTCGTATTATAAGAAATGATTATCAATAGAATGACCTAGCAACCAAAATTGCAATCATGCTGTGTAAACTAGAATACAATTCAGTTAACAGACCTTATAAGTTAAATTATGTTCAATGTTATATTGAATAAATTATTTGGAATCTCATATTTTTTCAAGGGAGGATCACAGGATTTCAAGGGAGTTACAATAGAAAGTGGTATATCTGATTCTCGTATGTACATAAGCACATGTGCAAGAGGGGCTATAATATCGTTTTTATGCCCACCAAAATCTTATACATAGTATTAGTGCAGAACAATCGGAAACTTATTTTAGATTAACAAGTAGTAGCAATTAATCTAGTGTAAAATTAGTTTAACAAAAAACACGATAAAATATTCAAAAAAAAAAATTATTAATTAGGCAAATATCAACTAACTATAGTGGATCAAAGCCCTAGCTTATTTTTACTGTACTCTGCTATACACATTTCAAGTATCCTTAATTGTGTTTTAAAATGTATAACAACATTTTGAAGTCACCGAAGACAATTTAGTTTTAGAAATATAAAAAAAAACAAAAAGATTTCTAACAGATTTTTTAATTGTAACTGCAAGACTTTGTAAAGAAAGCTTAATCGCAAGAAGAACAAAATAATCCGTGACTTCAATAATGCGCTCACGACGTAAATTTTACAAAGTATCAAGTTCCAAAAAGTTGAGTAAAAGCTCTTGACATTGTACACTTTTCCTAAATGCGTTTTATACGTAGTGGAGACGTAAAATTAAAGTAAATCGGGTATCGAAAAAATCGAGCACGCTTTTCTTATACCTTGTCATATAAATATTGCCATAAATAACAAATTAAATAAATTGGCATTTATTTTCAGCAATAAAGTGCCAGTTATCAAGTTATTTTTCTAAAATTGCAATGTCTTTAATGACTTCGTAATGTTTGTTAAAAATTAACATTTGCACAGAACTTTAACAAACGTCAAAGTATGTAATAATATTCTAAAAATTGTATTACAAAATGTACGAAAAGCTTTAGTAGTTTTTTTACAATGTAAAGGTATTGAAAGCTCTGAGACGGTACTACAACCGTATTAATACCGTACTTAAATCTTTTTGACAGCATTATTGAAGTCACGGTATTTCTTAGAACTATCAGTTGCTAATAACTTTAAACTACGAGTTTTTGTTTGACTATACTTCAAATTTTCTAAATTGTTTTTAAAACTAAAAGATTTTAAAACCTAGGCTTTATTATACATATATTATTTATATTTAGTTTCCACGGAAAAAATTAACTAATCAAAGGTAAAGGGATATTCAATCTCCGTCAAAGGTATCAAAGGAATTATAAGGATTTTCAATAAGGAAAACAACAAAAGGATATTCGAAAGGATTTATTTACAAAATTTTTTATTTAATTAATAATAAAACAATAATTTTCTTGTATTTTATAATTATATGTATTATAAAGTACAACATATTCAAAATTGCAACAAATTAAATTATATTGCAAAATAAAAAACACACACACGGTTAATTACCGAATCAAAAGCCAATTTTATTTTTCAAACATCCTAGAGATCTTAACATATTTGATTTTAATAAATCATAATTAAATACATTTTGATTAAAAGCAATAAAATCCCGAAATTTATTAAATAAACACAATAATTTTACAAAAAAAAAAAAAATAAATTACTACTCAAAAACCGAAATTTAAAAGTTGGTATAAAATTTTTTATTAAAATATTAAATTAGACAAAAATTAATAAAAATTTTTTTTATTATTTATTTTTAACTTTAAAAACACAGGAAAAAGAAAAAAAATATTCTAGAAACTTCAATTATCTTATCAATTGGAATTAGGAAGTAAGAATTCAGAGTGCACCGTTACAGAACAAGGTACAGGATAACAAAAATATTAAAAATATATGGGGAGGCTACCACCTTACATACTAGCAACAAATTTTTTTTAAAAATAAATTTAAATTGATCGAGGTGTAAAAAAAGAACAAAAAATATTCGTCAAAACATCTTAAATCTAAAATTAAAAAAAAAATTTTTTTTTTTGGAAAAATTCATAAAAACATTTTTTTTTGTATTAAAATTATTACATATTATTTTAAATACCTGGGCATTAGAATTTTTCTTTTAAAAAATCCTTGAATATTTTCTTGATTTCTTCCGGCTAACAAAATAAAACGTTTATAAATGAATACGGTTTAAAATAAACTGAATTTTATAACAGATGGGAAATGCTCATATAGTTAATTGTTTTTCAAATAAATCTCAATTTTCTTTAATTCTCTTTTATGTCTTCTTTCTTTTATCATTTTATGATTTTGTCTCTGTTGATAACTCTTCTACAGTCCACTGTACTGATACTGTACTGTATAATGTACTGTAATGTAAACTAATCAGTATTCCCGCTTTAATATAACGATTAACGTAATTTATAGTTCTCTCTCTCTCTCTCATTTTATTTTTCTCTGATCTTTTTAATATTGTCTTTACTTCGGCTAACAGATTTTATATAAATATGTACAGTACAGATATATTACATTTTCTTTTATAAAACATACATTATTTTTCACCATACTATTGCGCAATATAAAAAAAAATACCGCGAAATCATTGTTCAAATTTGTACATGCCACAAAATACTGTTATGTTAAAAAAAAATACCAACAAGTTAATTTTGTTTTAAATCCATTTTCTCAGTTCTCTTTTAAAAGAGTATGTTATGTAGTGTATGTTATATAGGTGAAAAAAATAAGTTTTCCAATAAGAAAATGAGGTAATAAAGGGTATTGGAAAAAATTAACAATTCGGTTGTGATTTTGTAAAGGGCAAGAAAAAAAAAAGTAGAATTTTAGAGAATTTAGAAAAAATTTCACTTTTTCAATTTTACTCTTAATGGGTAATTTTTTGGTTAAAATTTCTTTTTAATGGCTTTGGAGTTAAAAATTATTAAGCGACATTTAATTTGAAATTCTGTTGACTTTTAGAAGAGGAGTAAATTTTGCTGTTATTTTTGTTAATGTAAACATGAAAATTGACAGTTTTAAATGAACTATAACAGATTATTTTAGGGAGTAATGAGAAAAAATTAATTTTAACATTTTTATTTTCAATTTAACAGATTTTAATATTAGTAACGACATTTACAGTAGTACTGTTATTCGTTATGTTTATGAATTTCATAAGAAGATGGCGATTTTGTAAGTGGAAATAATTTTAACTGTTTTCTTTTTAATTTATTTTCAAATTATGCAAATGTTCACATCTTCTGAAATTCATTTTCATGTTGTGCGTACATAATTATGTTCTTAAATTAATTTTATAACTTTGAGATTAGAGGGAGAGCTCTTAAAAACATAACATTACAAATTGTACGCGTACATTCTTACTACATTATGTGCATATGAATATTTGACTCAAGATTAAATTTTGATAAATCTTTTTTATTATTAAAATACAATTAAAATTTTTATTCAATATTTCCCTAATAGTATTTCCCTAATACTTATACTAATACTAATTCCTGCTACCTAACTAATATGTGTGGATTAACTGAAAATATCAATTACTATAATAATTGTTTTATTGATGCACCTATTCACGTAGAATGCAAAATTTAAGTTTTCGAAATATTTTTTGAGGAAGTGAGAAAGTGACTCTGACGTTAAAAATGAAGATCCTGCTAAAGTTTTTCTTCCAATTCTAAATTTGTAAAATTCTAAAATTATTACAGGAAAACTCTCTTGGTTTTCATTATTTTGATTGTATTCAAATTAATATTCATTTTTTTTTTAAATTTCAGCCGAAATAATGTTTAAATGTGATTAATAAGAATAATTTTCTGAGTTCAAAGTGAATTTTGAATTCTTTATCAAAATTAATCCACTTTTCTATTGAATTACAAATATTTTCACAGCGCGAGATGTCAAAAATGTCATTATTAAGTAATTAATTTAATTAAAAATTTTAATTTCCTACCTTTAACATTGCACTTCAGCTCTTCAACTGTAGAATATGCCATCGGTCTTCTGGTTTCCAGAAATAAGATTCCAGATGTTGGTTTGATTGCTGATGTTGTATTTGTTATTGTTGTTTGTTTCACCGGATTCAATAATGTTAAATTTGGCGAAATCAAAATTTGATTTTCCTTCTGATTTTGTTGTATTGATTGCCTTTGCGATGATATTGTTGACAATATTTGATTGCAATTTGAATAGTAATTCGATTTCAAATCTTCTGTTTTGTTCAATTCTTTCAACTCGTTTGAATTTTTTATGAACCCGTTGTCTTGTATAGGTCGGTGTTTCGTTATTGGCCTGTTTTGAGACGGCCTTAGTAAAAAGGGAACTTGTTGTTGTATTTGTTTTATTGTCTGGGACACTTTCCCCTTCTGTAATATTTGTTTCTTTTGTATACTTATTAAATTCTTGTTGTTGTTGTTTTCCTTGATTGAAGAAAATTTCTGTTGTTGATTTTGTATCAATTTGTTCGTTGTTTTCTGAGGGTAATTCACCGTTGTCGACGTCGTCTCCAATAGATTGTTTACAATTTTCTGTATATCCTCTTGTTCCTGATTTATCAATCTTGTTATTTTGGTTTGTTGGCCGTGTTTGATCAATTGATTTATTGTCGGGCCGTACTTGTGAGTTGTCGTATAAGTTTCGTGGCCGTGTTGTGGCGTTAGATTCGAATTCAACTTTGCAAGCCATTCTGAACGGGACTATAAAATATAGGAAAAAATTATTTTTTTTTATCGTCCATTGATTTAATTTCAATTTGTAATCAATTAATTTTAAAATATAATTTATTGGGTACATGGTAGCGAAATAATTGCCATCACAATTCCAAAAAATTTCGAATATCAACAAAAGGTAGCTAAATGACACTTGCTTATTATAAAAGAAATTGTGCACAACGTCGGTCCCACAATTTTCTAAAGAAGAATTCACAACATTCATGATTTGTACTTATTTTTTAGAATACAGTCAATATGATTTTATAATTCAGTTTTATTCTTGATTCAGTTTTATTCAGTTTCTAAATTTGGTTTATAATTTAAGTTTTCTAGCAACTAAAAAGCGAAATATATAAAAGCACGTATGTATTTTTTCCCGAAACTTTCTTTCTCGATTAGTTAGATCAGTTTGTTTTTTCTTTGCGAATGATCTGACAGTTTCAATATCTGATAGTTTATATACTGCGACTTAATTTAAGAAGTTTCATTAAAATGCATACTCTATTCTCATTTTATTAACACTAGACTGACTGTATTCTAAAAAATAAGTACAAATCGTGAATGTTGAGAATTTTTATTTAGACAAGTATGGAACCGTCATTGTGTACAATATATTTAACTAACTATTTTTTTTTTGGAATAAAATAGTTTTGAAAGTATTCCGCAATAAATTTAATTGCTTATTGGCTTTTATTAATTTCGAGGAACTGCTGCTACTCCTAAACAATTTATTGAAGCTATTTTTTAAATTTCATAAAAGTTACTTTTATTCCATGTAGAAACCTCCAATTTTAATATAAAATAATATTGGCCTCAGTCGTAAATCAATTTTCTTGTGATTATGGAAAGTATTCTTAAATTTTCGTAAAATTTTAAATTTAGTGATGAAATTTTGCCGAATTAATTTGTTCACTTTAAAAAGTTCGAATTTAATTTTAATTCGATTTAGAATTATAAAGAATATTTTTTCAATACTCGTAAAGCAAGTGATTGGATTGAATTACCATACAAAAAACAAGATTTTTCTTACAATAATTAAGAAATTCAAGTTTTAAGTATTTATCTTGCCTGTGATGATTAGCCTTATTTTGTATCTTTCTATTCACCTTTTTTAAATTAATATTCTCATTTTTTCAATTGAACTTAATTGTTTTTACTCAAGATATCAGTAATAGTGTCAAAGTATTTGACTGAATTCCGATACAAAGTGACTGGATTGAGACAGAGTTTTGTATATTTTTTGTGAAAAAAGCAAAATAATTAAAAAAAATATTTTGCTCATTTAAAAAAAAAAAAGAAATTAAATTGTAAGAATAAGTCACTTATTTTCTTTTCGCTTGGTAAGCAAAAAAGATGAAATACACGCTGTGAGTATGTGATTGCAATTTAGAATAGTGCGCAAAAATTCAAAATTGTACAAAATTCAGTTCTCACTAAGTTACTCTTCCGTCACATTGAAGTAGCAAAAAATAAGCATTTTTACTAATCGAATCTTGATAATTCCCCTTGAAAAAACATTAAGAAAAATTGAGAAAACCCAATTTGAATTTACATAGCTTATTAAAGGAATGAGATATAAAACATGCTGCTGAAATAGTTCACGTATTCCTTTAGAATTTCATTATTATGTCAATTAAGTACCAGAATACGGAATTCAAATTTTATAAATTACCACTCAATTAGAATTCTCTTGATTGAAAGGATAATTTGCATACTTAGGTTATTAACATTAAATACACCGAACGGAAGGCTAAATTATGTGCAAACACTGGACAACTACGTGAACCTAAATTTGAAATCTAAAGTAAATTTTTCGCTTTGCGTTCAATTTGAAATTGTCGATCAATTGCAGAAGATTTTGTAGAAATTAAATATCAGTAGAAAGCAAAATAAGTGCTTCTATTCTGCATTTTTACTTCAAAAGAAGAATTTATATAAAAAAAGTTCTAATCAATTCAAAATGTAGGTACTAGAATCAGGTGATGGACAATTTGATATAACTTTACTTTTCTTAACGTCAAATAAATAATTGATTGCAAAGACTAAATCAAATCTCTGGTTTTTTAGAAACGCCCACGTACAAGTTTTCATCGTTCCGGAAACTTCTTATAATAGGTTTGCTGTTTCAAAAGTATTTACTTTTAAAGCTTTAATACTTATTAAATTTTTTATCGAAAAAAAACCTAATATTCATACATACATGTATACCGTTTTTCATTTACGTGATTTTAAACATAATTACGTAGTGTTATAAAAGGGGATTTTTTCTTTATCTTTGAAATGTATTTTTTATCTTTAATTAATAAATGTATATAATGTATAATATATATTACTTACATAAGATTCGCCGCTTAATTTAATTGAAATTGTAAAGCCTAAATGACCTTTTTAAAAAAAAAGCCTTTGATGAGCTTTTGTTTTAAGCTGTAAATATAAAAAATTATATAAAATATAAATTAATAATTTTGTAATATGCAACATAACAAATATATTTAGAAATATTTAACATGCTTAAATAAGTGTTAATCGAGGAAAGAAAAATATATATATAAACTTGTTTAGTATTTTCAAATACGACTATATTTAGTCTCGACCAAGCTAGAGGCTACTTTCGTATTCTAATGTATGTAATATGAATTATAAATAATACTAAATGGTAAAGAGAAAATTAATGGTGTGTGCCAAGGTCAAAATCTTTAACATTATTAAGTATTGCTACTACCAAACAAATCGGAACTAGGTAAGGGGGGAAATCAAATATCTGGACAATTTTTTTCTCTTTATTTTTTGTGCAAACTTTGTTTAGGAGTTTGTTTTATTTTTTGCTAATTTGTTTTTTGGAATTTTTGTTACACAATATTTTTTTTAACAAATTCTAAAATTTCGAAAATAAAACAAAAATTAAGTTTTACTAGTTATTATAAAAATTAAATCCTGTCTCTTAATTTGAGAGTTGTTTAACTGTCAACTGAGAGTTTACGCAACGAAATAATTTCGGACATTAATTCGAAAAAATTCCTGCTAAGGGTTTATTAAGGTAATAATAAATAAATTAAAAAATATTTAATTCATTTAAGTAGAAATTTTTTAATAACAGAAATTTTCAGAATGTTATTGACATTTATATGACAGCCAAAATTACATATGTAGCAAAATTTTATTAGATTAGGTTAGGTTTATGGAGCACCGTTGCTAAACCACGCAAAAAAAAAAAAAGGAGACGCAAAGAAAACAGGGAAAAGAGTATTGAAGATTGAACAAGTCAATTACAGAAACGGCAGGGAAATAATATTGCAAGTAGATAGTGAAACTGTATCAAAAAATGTCAGCCATAGGATGTGACTATAGTCACAATTAATCTAATATACTAATAAAAATTCAATTAAAAATGTACAAAATTCTATAAAAGCAACATAACACGATTCATTTATTAATTTTGTATTTTATTTGTTAAAAATGATGACACCTGTAATGTCACGAGTTCATAAAAAAGTTAAAATCAATTACATATTTTGCATAGTTTAAAAAAAATTAAATTTAAAGGAAGAAGCAACAATATAAAATTCAATACATGTGTATGTATGTACATATATGTACTGAAAGTTAATGTAGGTGTAGATATGAATTTATGTATATATATATGGAGTATGTATGTACGAAGACATAAAGTGGATATAAACATGAAGATATTCATATTATGTAAGTATATACACATAAATTTATAATTTTTTGCTACTTGGATTTTTTTAAAAATTACAAAGTAAAATTTTATTAATATACATATGTATGTATGTTTGTATATATGTATATAAAGAAAAATAAATGAAAATACAAATACATTTAGTTCGAAAGCTTTTATAAAATTTTTTTTTTTAATTTTTTATATTTGTTATAATATGGATACAATTATAAATTTTTATAAAAAGAAGGGGAAAATAATTTCGAAAATAAAATATTTACATTTAAGAAAGCTTTTATAAAAATTTTAATTCATTTCTTAGGTTTATTCTTCCATAATATGTTTGTGTATTTAAATAGAAAAAAATTAAATATGTATATATGTATATGTATACAAATAATACAACTCTAATGAGAACAGGCAAATTTAACTACATTATTTAATAATTTATAATATTTTTCCAGTATGAATTTAATTTAATAAAAATTTTTCTATTGAAAATAAAAATTAACCATAAATTTTATGATAAAAATTAAAATAGTAAGTACCTAGATAAGATAAAAAAATAAAGTATGACATTTGATTCCAATATGCACGAAATTACTTGAATGTTGTGACAATTTACATTACAATTGAAATATTTTAAAATTTTTTAATTACAGAAATTTTCAACTTTTTACACTTTTGAGGTGTTCATATTAGAAAAAAATACTCCAAATCAATGTTAAATTTATGTATGCATGTATGTGTGACATGGCAATATAAATATGAATGTATGTATATGGGTGTATGGGTTTTTACATTTGCGAAAGATTGTTGTCTCTAGGTGTAAGTTTTAAATATGGTGGACATTTTAATTGTAATTAAAATTAAAATGATGATCACATCATTTTTAATTTTAAATATTTTATTAGTTCTAATAAGTGGAATTTTTAATATTTTCCAAAAATTTTTTTTACGTCGTACGTATGTAATTCTTAATTACTATGAATTCCTATTTAATAAAAAAAAATACGTGCCAAAAAAAAAATATTTATTTTTTTACGTAACAGCCTTGTGATTTAAGAATCAAAGTTCAATAATTGTGAATTGTCAAGTAATTAACTTACATTTTTTTTTGGTTGTTTACTCCTTGTAAGTAAAATTAAATAAATTTCACTTAATAAAAAAATTTGCCCGAGATCCGTGTCGCGCACTTAAAATTTCTTTCTCTAAAAGCGCTTTAAAACTTTTCTAAAAAAAATATTGCACGCCCACAAAATTTGAAAATTTTTTAACAAATTTCTAGAAATATCCATTCACAAAATAAATTTTGTTTTATAATTAATATTTTCTCTTTTTTTTAATAAATTCCTTTTCAATTTTTAAAACAATATTAATTTTTTATAATCAAATTTTTTGCAGTGATTTTACACAAATTATGTTTCACTTGAGAATAACTTAAATTTCTTTTTTCCTTTATAATAAATTTTACTTTATTTTTTTACTAAATATCTTTCAAACACGTTCGGACACGTCCGCTAACTGATAATTTTCGTTATGAAATTCATAAAAAGAGCTTTGGCGCAAACTTTTTATATTTATTTCATTTTCGAATGATTCATTCGAATTTATAAAGAAAATAAAAAAAAATAACTATTTACATATGTACTTAAAAACAAAGTATGTAAATACACCCAAACATTCATATAAACATTCATTTATGATGTAGCCTGTACTGCCAACAATGTTCATATTGAGTTAAAATAATTGTACTAAAATAAGATTCTAAATTGTACTAAATTTTCAAAAAATTATAAAAAAATTATCCTTTATTACCAATGGTTAATATAACTAAAAACCTTAAAAAAATATGTATGTGAATCATCTGCTTGAAAGCCTACCTGTGATTATTTACACTCTGATTGTGCAAACAAATACTACTTGTTACCTACATACATACATTTATTATCAAAAACAAAATTATAATATTTTAGAGTTGTTTTATATGTACACAAAATAAGTTGAGTTAAATGTTTGAAATTTCGAAACAAAAAATGTTGAGATACTTAAACGTCAAAAGTTTAAATTTGGTCGTATGGATCGTAAATATTATGTCTTTTGTAATGTTTTTAATTTAAATTCCTTTGGTACTTTCGAAATCTAAAATGTACACAAAAAAGTACAATTGTAGGGTATTTATCAACCGTGAGTAGCAACAAACTTTACATTGAGTGTTTTTACAATACATTTAAGGATTTTATTATAATTACATTTGTATATGTATTTGCGTTACCTATGGCATTACACACATATTTCATTTGTACAAATGTACGGTTGAATTTCTCTATGCATACATACTTTAAAAATTTAATTCAAATCCATAATAAAAAATTACCTACTACATACATACATATGCTACATGCACACGTAGTTGTTAAATAAAATAATTTTAATATGTAAAAACAAACATATGACGTTTTGTTGTTATCTAAAAAGCTAGGTTTTTTCAGATTTTTTCCAATGTAGTCTTAAAAACAACATGCAAACATATGCATATTATGAATATTATTTTTAAGGCAGTCGAACACTCATATACGCAACACGATTTAAAGTAGCCCTATTAAATTAGCCCATATTACAATCTGACTGTAATACGTATTATTCTATTCACGTGTGAAAACAAATTTGGACAAAGAACCCTAGAGAGTGTAGTTATTTACATATGTACATAGGAACATATGTACCTATATGTGTTTTTATAGAAGTTATTAGTGACCCTTTAAGCGTTTTATGTAAATTTTAGATATCAAGTTGCGCGCACAAAATAGATAAATTATAAAGACTGAATGATTTCTGACTGCACTTAAGAAACTGTATGATTTCAGATTTGGAAATTGTGAATTTTTAACTAGATTTACTGCTTTATCTGATTTATCACTCATTTTTTTTATATAAGAATTCCAAAACTTTTACAGCTTTAGATTAATAAGTGCTGCGCTGCTACATGAATTAGCCCATTAATAAATATCTGCTATAGTATGAACAATTTGAAAATATGTTTTTTTAAAAGAATAAAGTATTTTTGACTTGTTTAGGAGAAATGTGCTATTTTTAAAACTATTGTTTTGATTCGGGATTTATTAAAAGCTAAGTTTATTAATTAAAATTGGCAAAATTAATATTTTGTAGAGTATAAAACTATTTTTTAAACTCGTCTTTTTTTAAATCTTTTCTTTGAAAAGCACATAAGCAAAATTTTGAACTTTTGTTTATTCAAAAAAGGTTTTTGCTGATTACGATAATAATATGTTAAAAGCTTTTAAATATACACACACACACATATGTATGCATACTCACACATGCATTTATGTTTGTGTATGACTTACTTTTGAAATTATTTTTTTTTTTTAATCACTAAAAATTTAGTTTTTAAATATGCTTTTCATTGTCCAATGACGCCAATTAAAAGGTAAACTAATTATTGTACATGACTGTATGTAAATTTAAAAATACATAGGTATGTATGCATGTACCAATCCAAATTATATTAATTAATGAATTGCGTACACACACATGCACAAAAATATTGCGTGTATGAGTATGCATACATACTCGCGTATTATTTAAGTTTCGAGCAAAAAATTAAAAGCTTTCGTTGTGAAATTCGTAAAACCATTTAACCTACCGCTAATAACATTATATGAACCTATAGTATTTTTTTTTTCAGATGATTCATTCATTTCTAAGAATTAAATCAATTAATGTTATTTACATGCATACTTATTAAAATATATGTACGCACATAAACATACATATGAAAATATTTATATTTATTTTTTATTTTTTTTCGAAGAAAATGTAGTTGTGGTAGTAATTACGAATTTTTAGTACCGCATATTTTATAATTTTCAATTGAATTTCAACAAATTTTATTGCTGTTTCTATTGTGAAAACTATTTTTACTTTAAATTGAAAAACAAAAACAAATGGAAAAAGATTTTCTACATAACGAAAACAAAGCTTGAATTGTACAGTTGCATTAATAAACCACTAAAAAGAAAGTTTATGTACACATGAAAGTACATATGTATATATGTATGTATGTGTGCATAAACTTATGTCATCTCTTTTCTGTTCCAAATTAGAATATTTTTAGCAAAAAAGGACTGCTGATTATGCACATACCTAATAATGCTTGTCTCAGTCACCTGTTAACAAATAAAGTCTTTGCTTCTCAAAAAAAAACAATAGAAACCGTCATTCAACTTCGTTATTCAACTCTTTTCCGAAGTTCTTTAAATTTTGCAGTTCCTTATTTGAAAAACCGTGAAAGTTATATGTTACTTATGTACATATGTACATATACATATGTACATAAGTAAGAATGTACTATATCTTTATTTTATCGGTGTTCAGAAATGTTGAAGATTCAAAAAGATGCATTTAAATGTTTGACGCACCAAAATAACAAAAACTTCTAAATTTACAAAATTTTAATTTAATTTATAAATTATTTTCGTTTACTGTACATTGTATGTAACATAAACATTGTATGTAACATTATTTTATACTGTACATTGTATGTAACATAAATGAGTATAAACTTTATTTACATAGACTTTTTTGTGCTTCTGATAATGTCACTGTAATATTAAGTTCCAAAGGAGAAATTTATTTGAAAATTTCACCAAATTTTGTGAAGGGTAGGTAAACAGAGTATAAATTAATGTTTACATTTCATACGTTTATTCTAGGTATTGTAGGTCGAGATTAGAGTATTAAATTATTTTTCCAGAAACGCATGCTTGTACAAACATACATACATACATATGTTTGTATGAACATACTTGCGTATAAAACCTTATTCTTAAATCGAAATTATTATAAGTAGCACGTTGTTGGCGTGTGAATATGAACAGTTATATATCAAAATAATATGTATGTATGTATTTATGTATACCGACAAATATAATAATAAAAATTTGCTTCGTTTATAATTCGTATTCGTACAAAATAATTTTCTTATGAGGTTAAATATTCTTTTAAATCTTAATATAATTAATTAATCTCAAAAATTGAAAAATAAATATTCAAAAGAACAAAAATAAATAAAAATTTTAAGTACCTAAAATAATTTTTTTAATTAAACATAAGCAAATAAAGGTTATCAGATTTTCAAAATTTAAATTGCATTAAAAACTTAATTTACGAAAAAATTCATTATTATGCAAGACAGCAAGCTTTTATTTGTCTATATTTATCTATATTTATCTATAGCAAACTACTACTTATTAATGTCACATAGTAGACTGATATCCAAACTTTCGTGAAAAATTTTTACTGTTATATTTGAACTATCTCGAGGTGATCCTATGTATTTCATGCATAAGTTAATAAAAAGAAAAAATTACAATTTATGCAATTTATGATTGTATAAGTTAAATTTTGTTTAGCAATAATATAAAATTTGTCAAAAGTTACACATTTTTTAATAATCTGTTTAATTATCGTTGGTACAGTAAAGACAAATTTTTGTCTTTATGACTTGTCTCAATGTCCGAATTCATGATAGCACATAATATTTTTCCGATAATTGACAGTACACAATATTTTTCCACAGACTGAGAAAATTCTATTCCACGCAAACAAAAATGTCAATTTTCACTAATTTCGAAGGATGAACTTTGTTTTGATATAAAACACATCCATCCTGCTGATGGGAGAAAAAAGTTTTTGTATTCAAATGTTCTCAATGCAATGAGACAAGAAAAAAATATGCACATATGTATGTACGTTTGTGAAAATCATTTTTATGATTTCATTAGGAGAAAAATAAATTTTGTTTTTAATTCAAAATTTTTTAATTACATATGTAGGTACATATTTTAAAATATCTCATCAAAATGATGCCAAATCGTTAAATTACATAAAAATAATTACTAACGTAATACAAAAGTTTTGTTTTCGAAACAAAAATAAATAAAATGTTTGTTAGCATTGCGATAGTCATTCACCCGTAACTTAAGGGCAATTCATGCAATGAGAATGATATAAAATAATTTTTTTTGTTTCAAAAGGTTCTAGTCAAAATTGCACCGAATCATGTGATCTTAAAGATAATTGTACTTGATCAATTGATTTTCAAATTATTTTGCTGCTTATGGAATTTGTTCATATAATTAAAATCATATACATATTGTATGTATGTATGCATATTTTTGATGGTAAACTTAAATTCCTAATCAAATTTCAGATAAAATTAATTGATTATTTATTTGGTTCAACTCCAAAGCCTGGTGAGATATTAGGGAAATTTTATTTGAAATTTACTTTAAAACTAGTAAGAACTAATCACATATAATATTTACATAAGTTGTAAAATTGAAAACATATGAATGAATGTATGTATGTTCTTATAATTAATATTATAAGCAATACTCCTTGCAATGCATATACTGTATGTAAATACGTATGCATGCATAAGTAAAATAAAACAAAAAATAATTTCAAAATATCAAATATTGCTATTGGAAATGCCACTGTACATAC